TAGACATAGAATTTTTGTTTCGACTATTATACACAGTTTTCCTAACGTAAAAGATTCGTTGTAATCCGACAGAAATGAGCATGACATAAGTAAATAGCTGGATTTTAACTGATAAGTGAGAAACTGAAAAAAATGCTTTTTCTATTGCACGACGGCAACTCTCCGTGTCGATAAGTTGTTATGATCTCCACATTTTTCAAGACTGCATTTTCTGACCATGAGATGAAAATAGATTTACTTATTATATAGACACAGACAGATTAGTATAAAGTTATTTCATTTGAAAAAGTTAGAATTTTATCAGTTATATTATGATCATTACTTCATGACACTTTAATTTCTAAAATTGTCTTCAATGCACTATGAATTTCCTGTTGTTACTGTTTATTCAAAAGCGTCAAATGCTATAGATGAAACTAATTGAATTGATTCAATTTCTAATCGTTTCAATTTTATGATATATTCTAATTGCTAATGAAAGTTTTGCATTCGATATTGTCTGTTTCCATTTTTCATTGATCAAAGCTGACATTGAAGAGATCTTTCAACGAGATATGAGCATTTGTCAATGAATTCAACAGAAAAAGATCAAAACTTAAAATAGCATGACAAGGATTTTTTTGGACCATTTTCTGAAATGTGAGTTCTCGATTCTAAATCAGAATTTCTCAATGTTTCAACATAAAATCCAATCTGCATTGTCTGAAGTTTTGCTTTTCGTTGAATATTTTTTCTCTGTCTACATGCATATATAGATATTTTTGTATTTTTCACTTATGTAGTCATTCGTTATCAGAATTCGGGTGTAGTCACGTCGTTCTTCCTTCGTTCTTTTATTTTATGGCGTTCTCTCCTGTGTTCGTTCGTTATGTGTAAGTTACATACGCTGTTTCTAACTGCGGATAATCTTTTTCTTCACGCCAGCTCTCTGTCTCCTTTATTATGCGGGGGTGTTTTATTCTCGGATGAGCGTGGCGAGTTAGACTAACTGTAGAAAACGAGAGGATCAGTTGAGCAACAAAACACAGTGTGTAGCAAGGTCCAACTGACTTGTGTACTAACCAGCTTATTGTGATGCCTCGCCCCCCCCCCCTCCTCTTCATCTCCTTCAAAAACTCGATTTTCGTCAAAAAGTCGACTTTTGAAATAAATGCACAATTAGATACTCTGACGTGTATATTTTCAGAAGCACTAAAGATAGCCAGATACTTCATGTGCATGAAGTTACGACTCATCTAAGATCACTTGTGTAATTTTTATTACAGAATTCGCAACACAATGACCATCTGTTAACGCCTTTTCTACCTGAGAATGGGTAGCAGATTCAATGACGACCATGTCGGAGTCAGCCTTGGCATTCTTCGCCTTATGGTTTCGTGGTATTGTTTGAAAATTTAGTCAATGTAGTTGTATCCAAAAAGTAAGAAGAGATAAGTAAAAAGAGACTCTAAACAGAAGACGAAGCTACTTAGACATACTGACTGCTAAATATATACTTCTTAGCTGGGAATTTTGTATGCAACTTGGCTTTCTGTCAGAATGGGAAAAAACCCACTGTCAAGATGGAATTTTTTTTTGATAGAACATGACGATAGTTTACCTCTCTTATAAAATTTCTATTATTTCTCTTTTTCTAAGGGTACATTCTGACAAAGCAGTAAAAAAGAGTGAGGGAATGGAAGAATTTATGAATGGTTGATTCTTTTCTATTGCAAGTATTTCGAGACAAATGAATTTCTGTGAGAATCTTACAATAGACTATGTGATGACTGAAGTTTGACTGCTTTCGTGAACTGGTACAGACATGTTAAATACGCAGCATATTCCAAGACAATGTACTGCTTTGCTTTGTGGGCATAACTAAGAGGAACATTTTCACTTGAGTTAAGATGTTCAAAAAAGTCACAAGAGTAGATCATTTATTATCATGCTGTGTCCGATGTGGATGTGAATGTGTGTAGGTAGGTGTCATCGTATTGATATTGGAAATATCTTCGATATCAAAATGCATACAAACAGCTATATTCACAACCACGACCACACACACATGCACACCCTTATTCCATCAAAATCAGTAGTCGTACGTAATCGTGTGTGTAGTAAATAAGTGTGACGGTCGATGAACACACGGATATGTAAACTAAAGCGTGTGCCTCGTGCACGTTACCATGTGTCTCTGGCGTCATTCGCAACAAATTGCATGAGGCGAAATGAAGGAATACTTAAATAATTAAAAGTTTGAACTGAAATGTTGAATAGTTTAACGGCAGTTCAACCATTGGATTTAGATGTCAAGTTTAACATTACCGATTTAATGATAAATTCAAGGAAAAATCTAAACGATTTCGTTATCAAAATCATCTAATTCAACATTGATAAAATCAATTTTGATGATGTTTTAAGAATTTTGAAGTGCGTCGTTAAAGATTTATCTTTAGCTAGAATGAAAAAAAACTAATGAAAAATTATTGCGAGAAAAAATAAGATAATATAATAGAAGATATATGTTAAATCGATGAAGAGCAGCATCTCGATAAAAAAATAAATAAATTGATGATTTAAATAGATTTTTATTTATTTATATTTGTCTATTTATTTAAATAAAGACAAAACGAACGAAATCTTATAAGGATTCGATATTGAAAAATGTCTAAAGATCGTTTATCATCATTTGGTAAACGTCTTCAATCATTAAGTGATACATTTTATTCAACAATTCTGAAAGATTCTAATGATAAAAAATTGAAAACAATTAGAAGTTGTACAAATACCTCAATATGATGATTTTAGTTTTACTTTTAATTCAATGAATCAAACAAAAACAGATCAATCAAATAACTATCAAGTAAATATATTATAGTTAAATAAAAGATATAAATTTTTTACATTCTCTTTTGTTCAGACAAGAGAAATCAAATATTCATCAACTCCATATTCAATCCTAAAAGAAAATTGTCAAAAAAAAACTCAAGATGAAACAATACTTGTTGAAGAAAATTATCCAGTTATTAGCTATTAACGAATCTGTTTTCCATCAACAATTTATTTATCAAAACAACAAATTGATCAATAAATAAATAATTATTCAACATTAAATAAACAAGCATCAAATTAAAAAGCAAAAGCTAATTGTATTTAGAATGTATTTTGATAGAATTATTATTGAACCGAAAAGAATTCTAACAGATATTCAATTCATGGAATTATTCAACCAATCATTTTTTTCTTGTCCTTTATTATTAAGTCTAAGAATCGATTTTTTTTTACTTTCACCTTTTATTTCTAAATCAAATCGAAATCTATTTTGATTATTTAATGCTTATTTTTTACCATTAATTATCATGTCACTAATTCTAATAAAACAAAAAAACATTCAATTTAACTTAGAATAAAAAGAAAAACTCTCAGTGAAAATTTTTTTATATTGACAAATAATCAAACTGTAGATGTTCATTTGGTTAATTCGTTTTTACAACAACTTTTTCTAACGAAGAAACCTTACCAACTGATTCATTTCATTTGAATTCATATTTTGTTCATAATTAGAGCTTATAACGTAGGTAAAAATCCTAAAAGATTTCTTCCATTGAGCAAACAACTCAATGAATTTTCAGTCTGAAGTTTTCAAAGAAAAAAGATATCTTATTACCTAGATAACACGCTTGTAGATACGATCTTTTTTTTCCATAAAAGATTCAAGAAAATTCGATTTCTACTAGCATTCTACTTCTTGAAAACAAACTTTTCATTTTTTAATGAAACTATCAGAATATTTTATGGATCATTAGATCTATGTTTGGGCAAGATTTCAGATTGAAAATTCATTGATTTGATTTTTCTTATAATACCCTGCAAAAGGTTGAAAATTCAGTAAAATGATCATAACTGCAGAAGAAAGATTTAATGAAAGGAATCTTTTCAGAATTTCATCTACACTATAAGCTGTAATTATGAACAAAATGCGAAAAAGAAATATCATCTATAAACAATACTTTAACAATCATAACAATGATTGCAAAAATTGTCAGTTAATCCCTATCGTGAATAAACACAATTTATGAACAATCTTCGCATAATATCGAATACCATCGGCAGAGGCCACACGAAGTATTCAGAATTGTTATGGTCTAAATATCTTCCATGACGTATTGTTACTGTTTCGACTCGTTCGATGTAAGTAAGGTTATTTGCTAGCACTTATTGATCTTAGCTTAGTGGGATACTGATACATTCGTCGCATAATGATCGTGTTATGGCACCTAGGTGGGTGTAAATGATGCATCCATTTCGCTATATACCATACGAAGGAAACGCTGCATAGGATACAGTGGACAACCAGAAAGACATGATCTTAAGTTCTAGTTTCTGAAATGCAGATATTGGATTGAACACATGTAATAAAGTCTATTTTACGCTAGAACTAGACTTCCATAAATGAAATTGAACACTTTGGAAACTTCTCGTTGAAAAATTTGCTCATAAATCTGAAATTATACGGAGATCATTGCTGTTGTCAACTTATGAAAATATTTTAAAATGACAAACTAGAGTGCGTGAATATATCATTTCATTCGAACTAGAAATGGAATAGAAAACAAAGTAATAACTAGGTCGAAAAATGTTTTTACCATTTTATTTTTGAGCTCGACAAATACTTTTCATCCGACTGACGAGGAAAGGTCCCCGACTGTCCAATTGCTTTTGAGTTCGTACCCTGTGCATAAAGTAGATCCCAGTGAGATATGAAAAATNTGCAGAAAAGGATAAGGTATGATTAGTCATTCATCGAAGATATGATCTGATTGACAATGTTAGTGATAGATGGTGGTTTATACTAATTCGTTGATTTAATACCAAGGCGAATGAAGAAGTATCAGATAGCACGCAGAGACAACGAGTTCGTTTTGATCAATTTTGAATATCAGAGAAAAAGATTGACATTTTTAAAAGTTTTATTGAACGATGACAAAAAAAGAAGAACACTACAGAAAATTGAATGTCTATGCTTTTGTGGATTTTCCTCTTTGTAAACGAGTTAGTTGAGTTTGTGTTTGTGTTTGTGTTTGAATGGCTTCAGGGCCCAATATTTGCGTTACCATACCTACACGGTGATTACGAATAATATGTATTACATTGAAAAACTGTTGACGAAACAGTCGACTCGATAAGCAGTGAATGTAGAATGAAGCCTAAAATAAAGTATAATATGATGAAAACAATTTAGAAGCTAATTGGATTAAACTCACTGAATAATTGATCGAAGCAACGAAAATAGAAATAGTATTCAAGTCAAGTTGTTGTTGTAACGAAAGTCTCGGTCGAAGAACATAAATCATAAGAATATGGAAGAGTCCTAACGGAATTTGTGTGACAAAAAAGAGAAAGATACTAGTAAGCATAATTATTAACATTTGTCGATCAAGAAAATTACGACGACGACCCGGTTTCAATTGTCGCTTTTGTTGTTGTTGACGATGAAGTCCAATGAATATGTTAATACTGAATATGAGAAGAAATATTGTAGGCAAGACTATTTGAAGGCTGGTTATTAGAATAGACCAAATCTAAAAGAAATTGATAAATGTTTTGTAAATTAGCAAGATTTCAAATAAGCAAACATACTTTCGAGTAAAAATATTGGTACGTAGCGCTTGATGAGGGGCTGGGAGTACACGCGATGGTGCCAGGTACAGCACCCATTGATGGCAGCAATAAATGGGAATTGAGTGCAATCGAACAAATGCACAGAATGGATGCACCAATGAGTACTCTTTTTCTCGTACAGAGTTCTTTTACTCGAAAAGGAAACCGAATACGAAGCCATCGATCGATTGCAATGGCTAATAAGAGCCAAGCTGAGCAGCACATAGAAAAATATTGAATAAATGAATAAAAACGACACAATAAATTCATAAGATTGCTATTTTTCGTGGGAACACCGAGACCAAGAAAGACAAAATCGTAGAAACACATTAACAAATAGATTGTATCTGATGCAACCATGCATACGAATAGGCAACTTGTCGAAACATTACGAAGGGTTTGATGAAGAAATATGGTGGCACTTGTAGCATGACCGAAAAAGCCAAAGAGGAAAAGAATAATGTATCCATAGAAAGCCAAGTTTCTCTGGATAGATGAAATTGGAACTGAACCAAATCCCGGTGGAGGACCCATTCCGCCACCAGGAGGACCCATTCCGCCACCAAGAGGACGCATTCCACCACCAGGAGGAAAATTATTGTTGCTACTATTGTAATTCATCTATCATTGTAGGTATGAAAATAACAAAAGAGAACTTCATATATATATACAGTGACTATTTCTTGTCGAAGTTTGGTTGTAGGCAGATAAGTCTGTGTCAGATCAGTGTTCGGATTACATTGATGTACATGGATTTATTTTTAATATTAATATCAAAATCGATTATCAATAGTATTTGTACGTCAGGTATCAGATACTATATTGTTCTGGAAGTAACAAAGATTATATAGTGTGCATACGCTAGATTGAAATATTCGCCTCACATATATATCATTCTATATCTCTTTATATTTATTTCTAATCTATAGAATAGCTAATCTTAATCCCACCAGAGAAAACATCCCTCGCAGTATTGAATTCAAAGCTCAGCTCCTCGATACCATTTAATAGTTGATCTTTAGTTTCAGGGATTGATCAGACATATTTGTGCCAATAGGTAGGATATGGAGTCGGCGATTTTTAGAAACAACTATGCATCGCTCTAGATATCTGTTTTATAATTATGATATTAAAGCGTAATAAATTGTTGCAAACATGCATGAAATTGAAGACTAACTTTGCTGTATAAATGCTATAATCGATAGTATACGATGTATAATTAGTCTCAGTGAATTTTCAACTGGACTTACTGATACAGCAGCAAAAAGAATCTCGAGAAAAGATAATAATTTCTTTTATTTACGAACTTTAATACGACTTGATTTTGTGATCTCTCATCTAAATCAATCAATTCATTCGGCTTGTAAAGTTTTCTTACTATTACAATTGTTTTCTATTTTCTCANACACCCACACCCACACCCCCACCCACACCCACACCCACACCCACACCCCACACCCCACACCCCACACCCACATCCACACCCACACCCAAAAGAAACTGCTAAACATAATAGTTATCAGGATTACTAAATCTATTCTTTTCAGATTCGTTATTTTTATTAAGCGCAAAATGTTATTAGAAAGAGTAGAAAATTATGTAAATGATTTATTTATATAAGAATAAAGACTAATAACTCAAATATTTCATTTATATTAAATATATTTGACGATGAGCACGGATTGTCCTCTTCATATTTATCTACTATGCTCGACAAGTAAGTACTAGGTGACCATAATTCTTGGAAATAACCAAAATCACGCTTAGTGTGGCTATTGTAGTTTTATAAAGACATTTGTTGGGAGTTTTCTATTGTTAACCTATTTATGACTTTTTCATACATAGATAGGTTAGAAATTCTATATGTAGCTGATAGATTCATTTATTTGAATTAAACAACATAAATTGTTATTACAGACATTATGAGACAAGAAACCACATTCTCTCTCTTTTCAACAAGAAATAAAAATCATCAAAAGTTATATAAAGAAAACTGAGGAAAAATATATATTACGACGTTTATTAGGTTTGAAATCGAAGTTTTAATGTCTGCTAATCTAAATAAGGCATCGAAAAAAAATCAAATCACCATTGTTAGAATTCAATAGTTGTCTATATTAAATTAGAAACTTGAAAAAAGGTTCTATTTAGCAATAAACATAAAATTACTGATTGCTCATTGCATTTATACAATCAATACAATTCCAAGACACTTAGAGGAACACTGTCAAATCCATTAGTTGCCAGCACATCTCGATTTGTCAATATCGATGCTGTATGCGAGTATCGTGGGTTGTTCATCTTGGCAGTCGTTGTCTAAGTACCTCTTAATGGATCATGCAATTCAACACTATTTGGAAAATTACCCAATTAATACACTGGCAACTAAAACTTGTGTATTTGATAATAAAGATAGTATGTATGCACCTAGAGCAGAATTCATATTATCAGTCACTGTCCAAGTTCCTGTCGATAAATCGTACAACTCATAAGTAAGGTGTGGATGTGGGTGTCAGAGAAGAGAATAATACACCCACACCCTGTTGACACATTATTCTTCGAACAACTTAATAAATAGCTTGCTAAACGAAGTAAGCATTTGTAACAGTATGCAGCTAGTGAGGCAATGAATCATGCTTTGATAGGATCAACATTCAGACTCGAAAGCAAAATCTTCGACCGTTCGTACGATGATCAAGTGTCCATGAACGTTGGAGAGTATATATTTGCTGCATGTCTTATTCATCATCCACCCGTTGATCTTTCTTATCGTTCATGTTCTCAGATATATCGAAGTATGAATTTGAATCAGACCAATCTCGAGCAGTACGCCCCAGGTGCTCGCATTCTCACTCTCTCTTTTCTTTGGACATCAAGACATCCTGAACCAGTCTGTATGTTTCTTGATTTTGTAGGTGGACGCAAAATTCCTGTTTTATGTACTCATCATGTTACTCAATCACGAACTGCATTGTATGTGAGCGATGTGAGCGATTGCCCAGGTAAAGTGAAAGTACTCATTCAAGTATTTACTGCGTTTTCTTTAAGCAAAGTTGACACAACAAGTTTTGAATGCGAAGAACGAGAATGTGTAGCATAAATTTTCTTGATGAAGTACCATCAACTAACAGTATGCACTATTTATTGAGTAAATTAATTGTTCATTAATTGTTTTTTTTATGTAAATAGAACGATGAGCAACGAGTGATAATCAATCAAATGAAAACAATTTAACTGATTTCTACGACACTCAAAGTCGACTTATCAGTATTGAAGAAAATTTTTCCCGTTCGAAAAAAGAAAAAAATAAATGGTTCGGCAGAAAGCCAAAAGAAAGAGAAAGATTGTAATCAGGAATCGGTATCCTCTTTAGTCACAAAAATTAAGGAGATAATCGAAGAAATTGTTCCTATTTTATCACGTGACAAAAACACTTTTCCTTCTCAATCGACCTATCTTGAATCCATCGGGAATTTCTTAAAACATTATTCCCTAACCGAATATGAAACATGAGCATTACCTTTATTAAAACGACTGCATCGAACAGTGCTTACAATAAAACAATTGCTGCAAGAGAAAGAAAATGGGAAGAATGATGATGAAAATTATCTCAATAAGATAGATAGATACTTAGTTAGATAGTTGAATACATATATATATAGACAAAATTACACAGAGTAATTTTCTTTTTTCTTCAGATGATGTGTGGGTGAGTGTCTTCATCCTCACTTTCTTTTTAGAGTGAACGAAAGGAATTTTCAAGTTTTCGAATGATTCTGTACAAATGGGGAATCCTTTTGACGAATTGATGCAAATGCAAAGTATAACAAATCCTTAAAGGATTTTCTGTTTTCATAAGCTCTGTCGTAAAACTTTTACAATGAGTACTTGAAGTTTGTGAGCATGTGGACTTGTCTTGTATTAAAGGTTTTTGAAAGAATTGTTGAGATGTTCAAAAATGGTAAAAATAGGTTTGTTATACGTTGTATTTTGATCAACATTTAAACCTTGATTGTTTGACTCTATTTTTCCATTGTGAGAAAATGTGCTTCTGTTGCATATCTACACTTATCTTTCGTTTTTTTTTCTTTTTCTCTCTCCTGCACTTATGCTGTTTTTTAATGATAAATCGATTATAAAAACAGTGTGTATCGATTTCTTTTCATCAGTCTTCAATCACTTTAAACTTGTTGTATTTGCACAATGACTTCTATCCCATTGCTTGTTTCACTATTAGTTATCATCGGTTTCGCCGCTGCTGCTGACAAGGTATGTCCTGGCTATGGATTTGTAATGGTGCCGGAAAAGTGCGAATCAACATGTTCACCCGACAAGGATGAATGTGGAATTGGCAAAAAATGTTGCTTTCGTATAGAACAACCATGTGGCAATCATTGTATTGTACCGAAAGAGAATGTGAAAAAGCCAGGCCTATGTCCATCATCCACTTCCGAAAAAGATAATCCTCTGTGGGGTCTTTGTGATGGACACATGTGTGATGTCGACAATGATTGTTCGGGTGAAAACAAATGTTGTCCCAACATGTGTGGTTCTCCAGTGTGCATCAATCCCGACTTTGTATAACGAAGGCGAATGAATCGAGTGTATTGTTTGTTATCAGCAAGAGTGTGTGGCTATGTCTTCATTTTTCTTCTTTACTGTAGTGTGTGTGTATGAGAGACATATTTTCGTTACTGAACATCTGTTTGCCTTGACCTTGAGAGAACAGAAAGGATTTGAAGGGACGAGCGATCCTTCTCCTCTCTTCTTCTTGCAAGAGAAAAATAAATGTTTAGACGCGAGATTTACTTAATATAAACGATGTCAATGTGCGAGATAAGCTAGCCCTATAGCAATTGTCGAAACAGAAATCGCATAAAAATAACGATATGCATAGGCATGCATCGAACCCGAACGTTCGGGTTCAATTTTCACTGGAGTCATTTTAGGTTAGTTAATAACAAGAATCGGACGTCAGCCAAAAGCAAAAGAATTCTGGAATTCGCAACGGCATATCTGAAATATTTGAATATCTGATCCAAATTTGAGGATCTGGAAAAATCCTAAAAATGAACCGTCGTCAGAAATAATGTATTCTGAGTTAAAACTTAGCTAAAGTTAAACCTGCTTCCATGATCTATCATGTGTCTACAGAACTGTTTAAGCAAATATCCACGTAATAGACATGAAAAAAAGTTGAACTTTCTAAGTCGGTAATTTGNGTATTGTCAACTCCATAGAATAAAAAAGACAAAATAAATTGAAGAAGTAATCGGATCCTAAACTTGTAAATACCTAGCAAAATCATTTGAAAACCATAAGGTATACTTTCTACCATCATTTTCTTTGTTTCTACCCGAGCAGATCATTAAAATTCAATTGGGCCGATTTCTGTAGAAATCGCCCCCCCCCCGTCCTTTTGAATTATTTTGTAATTCACTTGCATCATAAAGTTGTTTTTTTATTTCAAGAAAATCATGTTAAGATCCAATAAATAAATATTTTATGTACATAAATGTTCATCTAAACAAGCATCTTTCAGTGACTAATAACTATATTTTTTCTAATTGTAGAAAAATAAAATGAAGTTCTCATAGGATGAATAATGAAAAGATGAAGGA